TGAAGGCTGACATAAACTACCAATCCTACCTGAAACCGTCCATCAGCTCCTCGTGCCCTCTTCTTGAAGTATTGTGTGAGTAACACTGGATACGTCAATTCATCCCTCCTTTTAACTGAACCCCACTGCCTTTTACCTGATCACTCTCTTATTATGCAGAGCAGAGCAGGGGTGGGCAAACTGCCATGGTGATAATCCATGGCACTTGGAAAACAACTAGCCTTGGTATGAGTGCCACCCCTCCCCAACTCCTATCAAGTATTCTTGCCAAAAAAAAACCCTGAATCAGATCATGCTTCTCAATCTTCTAAATCACCTTATAAGAAATATAAGGCACAGAGAAATGCCTCCTTGAGGAGGCAATTAGCAAAATCCAAAATGTGAGAAATCCTACAGGACAAATGATTTGGTAGTTTGGAATAAATTACAAAAAGGGGAAAAAAAAAGAAAAAAGAGACGAAGACTTTCTAGATTAAAAGAGATTTAAGAGACCTATTAATCAAACACAATGAGCGGACACTATTTGAACACTGATTCAAGCAAAGTGTAAACAACACATATGAGACAGCTGGGGAAATGGCATACTGGAGAATTGATGTTAAGGAATTGTCAACATTTTTAGGTGGGACAATGGTAGTATGGTTGTGTGTGTGTAAATAAGTCCTATCTTTTACAGATACATACTGAAATACTGACAGATGTGATGACAGGTCTGAGATTTGCTTCAGAATTGTCCCATAGCAAGATGGGGAGTGAGCGGGATTTAGATACCAAGATTGGGCATGAATGGAGGATTTGCTACAGCTGGATGATGGGTACGTGGAGGTCCATTGTACCATTCTTTGTATATATTTGAAATTCTCCATAATAAGTTTAAAAATAAAGACAGGTCAGACATTAAAGTCACTGAAGGTTCTGGGCAGGTGTTTTGAGGTGGCGATTGTCAGAGTCGACTGGAGGGAGGGCAGCTGGGGAACGGAGTGGGAAAACTGATTTGGGGCAGGGCTGCGCTGAACACCATTTGAGGACATCTGAGTCGGAAAGTCCAAGTAGGTGGGTGGTCATACAGGGTGAGAACTTGGGAGAGACGTCAGCTATCCTATACTTTGGACAATTACAGCCACGAGCATAAAGAAGCTTTCAGAGGGCGGAGGATCCAATGATTACAGCTTATGGAATAAACCAACTTAGGGTTCAGAAAGAAAAACAAGGAATCCTGTGGAACCAGCAAAGCAGATAATTAGCCCAAGCCTCCACCTAAAGTTTACTTTCGTTTTATTAAACAATAGGAACCCTTATCAGAGCTGGAGCTGCATTTCACTCCTGCCACCTAGAGATTTTTAAAAAGTTTTTTCCAGTTAAGGTGAAATAGTTCGGAACGATGTATTTTAAGGACACAGTCAGGCTCATCATCTCTGTAAACTGCACGCCTAACTTCCCTTTGGAAGTTACACAATGCTATTTTGAAATGGTTTCAAAAGCTATTTAGACCTGGCTAGCTCTTAGGTCTGTGTGCCCAACTCCATTTTGCACCAGTTTTGGATGAAACACCCAAGTGGCTTTTTTTTTTTTTTTGTGAGGAAGACCAGCTCTGAGCTAACATCTATTGCCAATCCTCCTCCTTTTTTTCCCCCAAAGCCCAGTAGATAGTTGTATGTCATAGTTGCACATCCTTCTAGTTGCTGTATGTGGGACGTGGCCTCAGCATGGCCGGAGAAGTGGTGCATCGGTGCGCGCCCCAGATCCGAACGCGGGCCGCCAGTAGCTGAGCGTGCGCACTTAACTGCTAAGCCACGGGGCCGGCCCCCAAGTGGCTTTAACTGGACCTGAGTGGGAGGTGGCTGACAGCTCTGTTTCTCAAATTTTATTTTCAAGGACTGACACAAGGGAGCCAGGTCAAAAGAGACCAGACTCCCCAACACTGCTGCCCATCCTGGTGACCACACACTCATGTCAGAGGGCCTTGCCTCTCCAGACAGATGTCTTTCTCCTGCAGTTAATCTGAGTAGTCATTGTACTCTGCTTACCTGGAGAAGTCGGAGGAAGAAGTGATGTTATTTTAAACTTCGATTCTCATCTGCCTAGGAGCGTGACATCTTGCTTTCAATGGTTGAGTTATTCTACACAAATATGCTTGTAGCCAAGAATGGAACAAAAGGATGGTGCAGGGAAATGATATGCAAATAGCCTCCCAGAGCCAAATTGTTTTGAATAAAAATGTAAGGAATTTGAACTTGACAGTCTTGAAAAAGATGATCCAAAAGGGGGCATTACCGAACTGCTTTCCCACAGTTCAAGTACTCGACTATTGTAATGCAGCACACTACACTGCAATTATCTGTGTGCATGTGTATGTCTCTTGCTGGACTAAGTTTGAGATCAGGATGCATGTTTATTACCCGTATCCAGAAAAGTGCCTGGCTCATAGCAGGATTCAAACATGACTCAGTCAGTGAACATATGAATGAATGCACAAATAGCTCTGAGTATTCGGTCTTTTAGGATGCAGAAATTATAAATATGATTTAGATGCCATCCTTTCAAAATCCCTTCAAAGTAGGACATACACATTTGTTCTGTCACTTAAAGCATTTATTATTAAAACCATGAGTTTCCAATGTCATGAAATAACAATACTTTCTCTTAATAGCATGATCATTAAGGTAAACTGACAAGATAAATAAATGAGAGGGACTTCTAATGTTTCTTAAAGGAAAGAGAAATAGCTGTTATTTATTTCATAGCGAGATGACAAAAAAACAGTTGGCCTGCATTTTCTCCCATAAGTCAGTCTCTCAGACTTCACTTGGGATTTGTTCTTTCCATGCACCAAGAGAAAATGGGCTGTCACCTCTACACTCAAATTGGACAGTCTTCCCAAGCAGGTTTAGCTATTAGCACGCAGAGGGACTGCCATGCCAGCACACACTCCTGATCACGAGTTACTGCCCTACAAAACATCTTCCTGGCACCTGCAGGCCACGTGGTTCTGCTTTGCTTGTCCCCAGTTTCAGCGCACACCCCCTTCAGGCTACAAGGCAAGGCAGGCTATGAACACAAGGCTGCCCCTCTTTGGTACAAGGTGTTTTTCCCTCTATCTCAGCTGTTAGGTCTTATAAGAGGGCTAGGCAAGCATTCTGCCCAAGAGAATTGCCAATGATCTACTGTTGCTGATAGTGCCTTTTATAGATTTCCACCTAATTTAAAGATCTGCAGCATGAAATGACCTCAGAGACCATTTAGTAAAATTTCTTCATTTTAAAAATGACAAAATTATCACCCAAAGTCCAGAGTTTACATTAGGGTTCACTCTTGGTGTTGTACATTCTATAGATTTGGACAAATGTATAAAAACATGTATTCACTATTACAGTATCATACAGAGTATTTTCACTGCCCTAAAAATCCTCTGTGCTCCGCCTATTCATCCCTCCTTCCCCCTAACCCCTGACAAACAATGATCTTTTATTGTCTCCACAGTTTGGGTGATAATACTATGCCAATGTAGGTTCGTCAATTATAACAAATGTACCACTCTGGTGGGGGACGTTGGTAATGGGGAAGACTGTACATGTGTGGGGCAGTGGGTATATAGGAAATCTCTGTACTTTCCTCTCAATTGTGCTGTGAATCTAGAACTGCCCTAAAAAAACTCAAAAAACTGTTTGTAGAGAGGACACAAATCTAACACTTCTTTTTTCAGAGAACAGTTTGAGACTAGAAAACAGTATAAAGCAAAAATAAATGTAGCTTCTACAATTAAGCAGCTGACAGAATATATTGAATATTATAAGTTTAAGAGTTCTGGTAGGGCACAAACTATGTATTACTAAGATATAAAAACATCTTTTCCTTTATTTTAGGAAACTGATTATCAATAGTATTGTAATTTTTCATTGTTATGAAACTGTTAATAACCATTTAGGTTAACAATAATAATAATAATGGGTAATCATTTGCTTTAAAAATAGAAAATCGTATAAAATACATAAAGTATATAAAGCACAGCTTGGTCCTAGCTCAATGGGAGTCATTCTGGAAGGTTATAAGGCCATCAGTTATGAGGAGGGTAGAAGGCACAGATGAAATAATAAACCTGGAAAAGGAAATCTATTATAATAAAGTCTGGTTTTAGATTTTAATCACATACAAACAAGGCAAAAAAATCAAAGTCAGGTAAATAGTCAGGTAAAAAGTCAGCGATAGGTATAAGTTATCGCTTATAGTCCTTGCTGCCTCAGGACCAAGAATTACATTAAATTGTGCTAAAGCAAATGACCATACAATAAAGTTCTTTGCAAGTTTCAAATAGCCAATTGTTTGATTCAAGATTTAAAGAGATAAAATGAATGTTAACAGATTGAACAAAAATGGTTAAGCTGTTTTTTCCGAGCACACATACAATGTATAATGGTGTGTTATTAGAACTAAAAAGTTTTAGGTCGAAGAAACATTATTTTTTTAAAGTATCTCTTGCTCCACTTGACAGGTTCCTGTGAATTGTATTTTCCCTAAACATGAACACAACATTTGATCTGTTCATTTATTTTACTTTTTAAGCAATTGATAGAAATGTAAATAAATGTAAATATACATATACCTAAGAGGTGGCTATCCTACATGTGACAGCCCAGAATTTAGTACTTGTTTTTTTTTTTTTT